GGGGGTGGGGGTGGGGCAGGGCGGCATGAGTGGCAGGGACCACAGCACGCACGGTCCACATGTGTCTTCCCACAGAGGCATCGTCAAACCCTAATGATGTGTCTGTGTGTTTCCCCCTCCAGAGGGCCAAGATCGGCCAGGCACCCAAGACTCCGGAAGAAAAGACGACCAACACCATAGCCAAATTTGACAACAATGGGAACAGGGACCGCATGAAGCTGAGTGATTTTAACTTCCTGATGGTGCTTGGGAAAGGCAGCTTTGGCAAGGTACAGTGGGGTTTGGTGGCCGTACTGCTCCAGAAGAAATGACCAGCAGGCAGACACATTTGCTGTTCACATGGGGTTTATATTCCGGTGAGGGAGAGAGTAAAAGTAGATAGGTCTGGACTATAGTTTGTAGTAGACGCTGTGGAGGCAATGAAGAGAGTGCTGTGCCACAGACAAATCAGGAGGGGACCCACTCAGACTGTCTGAGGAGGTGACATACAAACTGAGGCCTGGGGATGAGAATGAACCTGCTGTGCGTTCAAAGAGCTAGGCGAGAACAGCATGGGCAAAGGTCCTGGGGTGGGGAGGGCTTGGTACATTTTAGGTACCATCGGAAGGTGTTGGGGCCGAACTGTCATGAGCAAAGGAGGTAGTGGGATGTGAGTTTGCAGAGATGGGCAGGGCCTTGTGAGCTGTGATGGGGAGTTTGGGTTTTATTCACAGTGCAGTAGGGAGCTACTGAAAGATTTTAAGCAGAGAATTGACATGATCAGGTTTGCCTTTTGGAAAAAGGCAAACTCTTGCAACCAAGAACGAAGACAGTTCCTTTCACATAGCAGCACAGTTGAAGGACGACCCTGGGACTCGTAGAGTGGTTCTGGATGCTTTTATAGATACCGGGAGGTGCTGTTTTACTGACATCAAGATGGTGTAATAAGTATTCCTGACTTGTTTAGTGTTGTTTTGAGTCTTTTAAGCCCTTTGTGTTCTACAAATCTGTCTGGTATAAATCTCATGCCACGAACTCAGATGTGCAAAAATTATAAATTCCTTCCCCATCTCTGTAGCCTAAGTAAAAACATGAGTGTTATCGTTGAGTTCCTCTCACACCGCCCGTATCCCAGCACGTGCAGTCACGGTGAGTCCTGACACCTGCTTCTCCAAAGCCCGTCATGAACTGCCTGGCTGCTGTCCGTCTTCATCACCGCGAGCCTGACCTACGCCAGGCTACCCCTGGCTACTGCGGAAGCTCCCGGCTGGCTCCCCTGCTTCCACACTGCGGCCCGTAGTTAATACCTTTCCATTTAGCAGCCATGCCATTCATTAAAGCCCTGCATTGGGCCAAGGCACTCCCTGCTCATAGCACCCCAGTGACGTCTTCACAGCTAGAGTAAACTCGGTGCATCGTCCTTGGCTCACATCCTTCATCATGACCCTTGGTATGATCTCTGCTCGACGACGTTTTCTCCCTCCTGTCACCCACTGTGCTTGGGCCACAGGGTGGTTCTTGGGATTCTGAAGCATACAAAGCTGCCTCCTCCCTCAGAGCGTCTGTGATGCGTGACTGGCTCCTTCTTGTAATTCCCATCTCAGTTTATCTGCCACCTCTTTCGAGAAGCCTTCCCAGACCACCTCCTCAAAGAGCTCTCATTCATTCTCCGTTATATGTAACCGTCATAGCCCCCGCCACCAGGTGATATTTTCTTGTTTATTGGTTGGTCTTCTCCTTCTAAGATCTGACCTCCACAAGAGCGGGGACCCTCTCTGCCATGTCCACTGCTGTACCCCACTGCCTGTGGCTTGAGTTCGTTCAGGGCCTAGACTGAATGCGTAAGTTTTTCTCGGTGGGTCACAGGCCGTCTGCTGAGGTGGGGTCAGGGCTGGCCCACGTTGGACGAGCCTCTCATGGACAGGGCGTTGAGAGCAGGAGCACGCAGTGAGTTTGATGAGCAGTCCCAAGGGCCAAACGAGAAGCTGGTAATGGCAGTGCCCGCCCCACTGCGCGCTCTGCCAGCAGCTGGGGGCAGCCTGGATGTGCACGTGGAAACGTGGGGGGCGGGGGGAGTTGAGCTAAGCGTGGGGACTAGAGCATCAGCGAGCAAGGAGACCACAGCAGCAGGGGAGGTAAGGGTTCTGGGGTGAGAGACGCCCAGTGCGCACCCGAGGGAGCCTGCTCCTAGCCGGTGCTCAGTGAAAGCAGACGGCGTCTAGGCTGGGATGGAAGGAAGTCAGAGCTGGAAGAGGTGGTAGCCGGGTGGGAAAGGAGGAGTCTGGAGGCCTGGGGGTGGAAAACAGATGGATGAGGTCAAGGGATTTAAAATGCTAAGAACAGAGCCATTTAGATCCCAAAGAGGGGCGGTTTCCACTACAGCAGGGAGGGGCGTGGCCTACTGAAGGGGCTCGAATAAGCTGAGGCTGTCCGAGAGTTTTTTAAAATTATATTTTTAGTAAGCAATATATTCATGGCTCGTAATTAAAATTATACTTAAAGGGTAAATATTGAGAAATCTTGCTCCCACCCAAGTTCGCGTCTTTTCGTGCCCCTCTCTGCTACTGCCCTCCATAGGCCAACACTTGTTCTTTTAATTTGCATCTTTCCAGTGTCTCTATGCTGATTTAACTAGTGTAAATGTGCATTTTTATTCTTGGCCTTGTTGCCTCAGAAGTTAACAAGATAGATTGGGGAGGTTTTGATTGAGGGATGGGAGCTCCGGAGGGCCTCGTGGAAAGGGGGTGGGGGAGGGTCATTGGGGAGCAGTGTGGGAACGAGAGAGAATAGATGATATGTTTCCATGGAAACTGTTATAATAATTGAGAGTTCTGTTTCAGACTGGGGGGGTGGCATCAAATAAGTCACAGATGACAACAACAGTGTGTCATGAAAGCAACTGGGATAACAAAACCTCCGTGATCCTTCGAAGCACGTCGTGACCCTTTGTCGCTCTGGCTTTGCCAGTCGTGGTTTCACGTCCACGTGGTTTTATATTTAAATGCCCACTTTTAACATTTTGCTGTCTTGCTCCTTAAAGGAATAACGCAGCAGGGCAGCGGCTCTTCCTTCCAAAGGTGAGGCGGACGACCTTTGGGGTAATCTGTTCACACCTCCTGCCCCCATGTCCACCGAATCAGATCGGGCCCAGGAACCCATGCCCTGAGCCCCATAATAATTGGTGAACTGACTAGGGAGTGACAGAGTGTTTTTCTAAGATCTATGGAAAAAACTGAGAAAGCAGGAGTGAAAGCTATTGAGAGCCAAATGACTAAGCCCTGTTTCAACAACTTTTGTAAAAGAACTATCTGGAGAGTTTGCCCTGAGCAGGTAAGGGTTTCCCTGAGGTGTCACCTGACTAGAGCGGGGCCCCCTGGCCTGTCGGGCTGTGTGGAGACTCGTGCCTTCCGGAATGTTCACTCACTTATTATTTAACGGCTCTAAAATGGTTTTACCCTTCGGTCTCTGTTTTCTGTGGTTCCTTGAACCTTTAACTCTAGCTTTGCCAACCACGACACTTTTCAGGAATTTAGCCTCTGGCTGTCGAGTGGCTCCTGGACTTGAGTTGTGCTCCAAGTCTGTGATGGGCAGATACGTACGGTCCAGGCTGACGATGTAGTGTGCTCACGGTTCCTACTCTCACTGAACTTTCTCCCCAACATTTTATTATGAAAATGTTTTTTTAATTCAGAAAAGTTGAAAGAACTATACAGTGAGCATCCATAATACCCGTCACCTAGATTCTACGATTCGCATGGGCCTGTGTGCACTTTCCCACATACCTTTCCACCTGTGTGTCCCTAGGTTCACCCACTTTTCAGTGCATTTCAAAGCGAGTTGCAGACATTGGTACACTGCACCCTTAAACTCTTCAGGATACGTATCATTGAACCAGAATTCAGTATTGTTTATGACTATTTTAAGGTAAAATTTGCAGACAGTGAAGGCACAGAGAAGTATGCCAGCCTATGAATTTTGAAAACTGCGTACTTTGAAACCCCGCGGGGTTGTGCACATCGATCTAAAAAGCCACAGACCTAAGGTGCTGCTGAGTGTGGTATGTGCTCTGCGAGCCTTGGGAGTTGGGGGGCCCTTGTGAAGGCCGCGAAGGCTTCGTAACAAAGTGACCGAGCTGTGTCTGGAGGACCCGTTGAGGACACGAAGAGGGGAGGGGTAAGTGAAGCTCTCCGAGTGTCTCCTCTTTCTGACCCGGCTGGGGCGACCTGGGCGGTGGCCAGGGCACCTAAGCTCCTTTGCTAGTGAGGGTGGATTCAACTGCTGTACCCCCCCCC